ACACATTATATAGGCTACACTAACGTAACGTTTAGTAGGTTCGTTTAATTATTATACATGATGTACGTTTTTTTTAGTGGGGGGGGGGGTGTTTAATGAAAGTGTTTCAAAACGCGACATTAAGTTCTTGACGACCTAATTCATAGACTGTTTGTATACCCCATGTAATGAATGAAGAAACTGGAGAAATCCCGTCAGTACCCCTAGTGGCCACAACACTAGAGCTATCCGTCAGTACCCATAGTGGCCACAACACTGGAGCTGTGAAATCTATGCACTTTAAAAGCAAAATAACTTCTTGACACGTCCGGAATCATTCCTAGTTAATGAAACCATATTTGACAGGTCCAAATGTAAAAGTCTAGGAGGAGTTAAAGGACAAAAAACTTCTCTCAACTTATAGTAGGATGCTTAAAACACAACAATCTTACAATAATATTATTTGAGCTTCTTTTAAAATTATCATGTACAATAAAAAAAAAAACTGTCAATAAATATCACAGTGGTAAATGGTTGATATGCAACCACTGACAATCATTTTATTTTCTTGTCAACGTATACATGACTGTCTATGTGAAGAAGACTATATCAACCATTGACAATCCTTTTATTTTCTTGTCTACATATGCATGACTGTATATCAAGCATTTACAATCCTTTTATTGTCTATGTATATGCATGACTATGTATACAGAAGACTATGTCCTTCTTTAACGGACCTGTCTACAAATGAATGACTGTATAACTGTATATCAAGAATTGACAATCCTTTTATTGTTTATGTATATGCATGACTATGCATACCGAAGACTATGTCCTTCTTTAAATGACATATATTACCTCATCTATGTATGTCTATTGGCAGAAGTTTATCTCCTTCATTGAATGACCTGCATTATCTTGTCTGTATAAATATATATATATATCTGTGTGCAGAAGTTTGTATCCATCATTGTCTATCCTGTATTATCTCGTCTATATAAATATATGCATGTCTGTATGCAGAAGTTTGTATCCATCATTGACTATCCTGTATTATCTCGTCTATATAAATATATGCATGTCTGTATGCAGAAGTTTGTACCCTTCATTGACTGTCCTTGTATTACCTGGTCTCTATATGCATGTATGTGTGCATATTTTCGATAACCCTTTACTTACTTGGCTATCTGTACTTTAAATACTTCACATCATATAATTTTATATACTCTACCATATAGTAGAAAAAGAAAATCCTCGACATCTACTCTATAAGTTTAATATACTAATAGATTTGAATGGCAGTTCATAGGAAACGTATCACAAGGTTTAGTCACCAGTTTATAATGTATCCACCAAACCTCTCCCATCGTCTAGAGATAACGTTTTTTAAAACTACACCGCCACTATGGATAAAGATGCTATTTTTGTTCTGTTGCTATTGGCTAAATTAACCTTCACTGAGGTAGAGATACTCGTTTCTTTGTTTTGCTCCCAGTGGCACAGCGGTATGTCTGCAGGCTTACAACGCTAGAAAACAGGTTTCGATACCAGTGGTGGGAAGAGCACAGATAGGCTGTTGTGCAGCTTTGTGCTTAACTAAAAAACAGCAACAACAACAGTTTTTTTGTAATGGTGTGATTTTCTAAAGTAAACTAAACTGTAATGCTATTATTTGTCAAAGCTTAACGCCATTAAGTGAAATAGGCTAATGATGTTATTTGTCAAAGCTTAGCGCCATTAAGTGAAATAGGCTAATGATGTTATTTGTCAAGGCTTAGCGCCATTAAGTGAAATAGGCTAATGATGTTATTTGTCAAGGCTTAGCGCCATTAAGTGAAATAGGCTAATGATGTTATTTGTCAAAGCTTAGCGCCATTAAGTGAAATAGGCTAATGATGTTATTTGCTAAATTTAGCGCTACTGAATGAAAGAAGCACATTTTTATCTTTATTTTTCATAATTATTTGCTAAACTTTGGAACCACTGAGTGAAAGAGGCGACTGTGAAAAAACTTTGTCGCTTTCTGAAAAATTCATCTATTACAATTTAATATAATAATCGTATGTTTACTATACTATAGAAGTGAAATATTTCAAATTGTAAATACTAAATAATTATATTATAGAAGGCTTTACTGTAAAGACTTTAGTAAATAATTATTCTAATAAAATATTAAGTTTTTAGTATTCATTCATAATTCTTTTTATTTTGTTGTCTATATTCATAGGAATTTATTTGTTCTAATTGAATATCTTCTATTTACAGGCCCTAGACTTCGATCGTGATGGCCTGACAAAGATGAAAAAGGCTGTCAAGGCTATTTACAACAGTGGGAACGGTAAGTTGGCAGTTAGCGCCCTCTAGTGAAGCTAAGCTCACTCAACACTTTATTGTCGAAAAAGGCGATTTATTTATATTTTTCCTATTTAGTGTTTTCGTTAAATAGTTTTTCAATCACATTAGTGTGGGATTTTACTTTCACACAGTCAATCTAGTTTAGTGTAGGTAGAGCTGGGTGACCTAATATATTAATCGATTTATCAAAATTACAATTAAATCGATTATTCTAAGTTAGTGTTTCCGAATATTACTTCTTTCAGTTATTACGCGATTATATCGATTGTCACGAAAATAATCAAGTGATCGAAGTTAGTGTTTCCGATAATTACTGTTCTTGATTATTTCATTAGTCGAAAACAATCACCTATTCAAAATGAGGTTTCCAGAAATAATTGAAATATTGCCACCAAACTTACTCGACTTGGAATTGTTATGGCAGACCTGTTAAAGCTAACTGACGTTGTCATTAATGTTTAACTGCTGGATATGGAAGGAAACTGCCTGGCCTTTTCTCTCTTTTTTTTTCTTGTTGGTGAATTGCCAACTCTCTGGCAGCACCCAATGCCAAAGCTTTTTGGTAGTGGTGTTGAACTGATGAGTAGAGTAAAGGCAACTGGCTGGCACCAACCACAGCCAACTTACCATGGTTGGAGGAACAGTGTATTTCTTGTTGGTGAATTGCCAACTCTCTGGCAGCACCCAATGCCAAAGCTTTTTGGTAGTGGTGTTGAACTGATGAGTAGAGTAAAGGCAACTGGCTG